AGCAGCAGCAGCAGTAGCAGCAGCATCAGCATCATCATCATCAAACAATTTTCTTCTTTTCCTGTTGTTGTTCTTGTTGTTTCCCCTATAGGCATATAACAATTATCACCACGTTGACACATTTTTATGTTGGTCACAAATATCAAGCAACAATAATAACAGATGACAACCAAAACATTCCAACCCTTTGCCCAAGAAACAACAAACAAAAAAACAAAAACAAACAAACACACAAACACAGAGCAACAAACGCTAAACAAATATAATATAAAACAAATAATACACCGTTTAATCAAAAAGAAACAAACCAATAATGCTGAACAAGCAAACAAAGACACAAATTTAAGAAAAAACGGGAGCAAAAAAAAAACAACCCCGCTTTGTAAGCAAACTGAAAAACAAAATAATGCTGAAAAAATATACAAACAAGCAAACAAACAAACAAAAAAACGAACGAACAAACAAACAAACGAACGAACGAGCAAACAAATAAAGCAACCAAGAAACAAATAACCACCCTGAAAAAATTCCCTGACTCACCACTAGGGCCGTAGCTATGGCTCGAGCGCCCTTGACCCCGAGTCCACGGGTTTTTAGCACAACGTGGGAATCCGCGATGGAATTGGCGACCGGGGCAACCGGAAGCACTCCGAACTTCCGGCAGGAGTCGATGTAAATGCGGCAGTATTTCCGTTTGAGTCGCTCCTCCTCATCCAGGTCATCTGGGGTTTTATTTTCTGGTGGCTCTGAGGTTGGATGAAATACGTGGAGACAGACGCATCGTTAAGTTCTTATTCAACGCGACCCTTGCATGCAGAAGAAACTGTCTCATACTTGTTTAATTTTTTTTTTAATTAAAAAAAAAATTTTTGGGGGGGTATTTCTTTAATTTGATTTGATTTTTTGTTCATCCTCTGTGGACTTTACGTGTCAAGGGGAGAAGCTGTTTCATACCTTTTGCTTTTGTTTTTGGTTTTTTGTTTATTTAAAAAAATACTTTTTTCATCTTTTTATGCCTTTACGTGTCGAGGAGAGAAGATGTTTCATACCTTTTATTTTGTTTTATTTTCGAATTTATTGTTTTGTATTTTTTTAATTTTTTCATCCTGTTTCCTTCACGTGCCAAGGTGAGAAACTTTTTTTCATACAATGGGTCGGGGTTTTTTGGTGCTTTTATTTCATAATTTTTTTTTTTAATTTTGTAAATTTCTTACAATTTTTTGTTGCTTTTTCTATTGACTTTAAGTGCAGAAGGGTGATCATGTTTCATACTTTTTTAATATTCAAACTTTTATTTTTTAAATTTTCTTCCTCTGTCGCCTTTACGTGTGAAATATGCAGAACATGTCCTTGAGATACCTAAGTCTTCATTTCTCTTGCGTGACCTGATATTTGAGGAATCTGTCGTTAAGTAAGAATGTCGCCATTCAATAGTCACCTTTCTGTGCTTCCAGGATCAACTCTTTATGTAAAACTCTCCTATTTAATGCGCATTGAAAATGATTAATTATACTGATTCCACTGAGACACTATTTGTCTTCGTAATCCACAGGAAAGTCTCTGGCCCTCTCTCTTTCTCAGTCTGTCTGTCCATCTGTCTCTCTCTCTCTTTCTCTCTCTCTCTCTCTCTCTCTCTCTCTCTCTCTTTCTCTCTCTCTCTCTCTCCCTCCTCTCCTTCTCCTTCCTCCCTCTCACCCCC